AACTCTTTGCTGGAGCTAGGCTACTTTCTTCATATCCCTCATATCAAGCTTGGGGTCTCATGCACTATACCATGTGACTTTCCTTTGACTGCTGTTTCATTTCTTGCCACAAATCCAAATCCTATCTCATCTTTAAAGCCCAAATTCCATCTCTTCTGTAAAGTCTTTCCTGACTAGCCCAGCCCACAGGAATCACTCTCTTCTTTGAATTCCTATAACACAAACTTTATGGTTCTATTTATTTGGTCAATAATGCATCCTATATTGTGTGTTGTTAGATAGCTTTCCATGTATGTGTTTTATCACCCCAAACAATTGTAAGGCCCTTGAGTTCAGAGACAAAAATGCATTGTGCTCCTTATGGGTCCAATGTCATACCTTTAATATGCTCTCAACAAATACTAGTCTATTTCTTTTGTTCTTTTTTCTAATGGATTATTTACCACAGCAGTAGAAACTAACAGATAGAAAATAAATCAGAAATCTCTTCTAACTTGAGCAGTTACTAATGATCTCATACAAATAAATTTTACCTAAAAAAGAAGTAGAAAATTAGGCTATATATAAAGCATATAATATGCTAGAGTCTGAAGTCAATATTTTCCTGGGTAAGTGTCCAGCATTTGACAAAGAGTTTAATTCTTCTAATCCCTGGTTATCACTTACACCGAAAGTTGTAGTAGCAAATTCAAGCAAATTTTTGTTTTTCATATAGAGATTCTTTTTACTTGATAAAAATATTCCCCCTGGAATATACTCAATTAAAATTATCAAAATAAACTAAAGAGTTGGGTTTTAGTCTCATTAGCTAGGAATAGAAAGCAATTTCGGTGAGCTAAGGAAATCTTTGTTCTTCTTCTGCTGGATTCTTTTAAAATGACTTTCTTGTCTTAATACATTGATATGGAGTAATTGGAATAGGCTGTGCATAATTATTATGTACCCTAGGACTTGATCCTGACATGGAACTCCCTACTGGATTCTCAAACCAGTCTGGTTGAAGAGCTGGGTGAGAAGGAGGCAAGGACCTGGTTCTACCTTCTTTACTAGGAAATAAAGGAAATAAGGCTAATGGATAGAGATCATGATGTTATAACTGAAAGATGCTAACCTTGGTACTTATATCAAAACCAAAACTGAGTTCAGCTCCTGACAGATAACCACAAAATAGACGTTCTTAGCAGTATTTTTGAAGACTCCAATCTGTGGATTTGGACTTGGGAACATTGAAAAGCAGGTTACTATGAGTTGAGGTTCATCCTAGAGAAGAGGGGGATCTGGGAAGTTCCCTGTAAACTGTAGGACAACTATTCTATGGAAAGCTCTGACCCTTTGTATCAGGGTTAAGTCTAGACTCTTAAATATTTCATGGCTACCAACCAGGGCTCAGGTGACTTGCTTCCTATACAGCCTCGGCAAATTCACAGCTCATGGGAGTGTGTGTAGGAAGATGTCTGGTCAATCATACTATACATTATTACATAGTTGAATTTGGCCTTTGCTGTGGGAGGACCCCAATATGAAGACTGCAGGTCACTTCAAGTTGCTTATTTGAGTCAATATGAAAGCAAACCTCTCATTCCTCTTGGTAAGATCTTGCAAAGTAAATTTTCCTAACAAGTGGGTTGTATTTTTATTTATCCTAAAATATTTCTGGATGAAACCTCTCCAGAGCTAGGAAATATCATTATTCAATCAGTGGTGGTGTTAAAAGAGTTCTTCTCTCTTACAAATGGAGAAAAAAAAAGCAACGACTCTGTTATTGGAGTCTTTGCCAATGTCTCTGTTATGTTCACTGCCTAAAGAATACTGACTGTGGCTACCTGCTCTGAATTATAGGGATGCTGTATCTTAAATGTCCATGATCAAATAGTTGAGCAACTAATCTGAAAGGGTGATGGCTGGAAAATGGCATAGGATTTGTTACCTGCTGAAACAATAAAAGGACATAAAGCATTCAGAAAGTCACAAGAGCTATAAAGATTAAAAGAATACTGAGAAATAACCTCTGTAAGAACATATTAAGGAGCTAGGATTACTCCTCTTGAGAAGGCCAAAGAGGGTTCTTCAAGGGAGTCATATACAGGCAAACTCTGACTTATAGCAGTTTGCATTTAAGACTCATCCTGACAATCACATCCATTTTATTCTCATGACATTTATGGCAGGTAGGGCCAGAGAGGCCACTCATCCAGTTAGGAAGAAATGGATCCCAATTTTTGAATAGAGCAGAAAGACTTATTTTGTAATCTCTGATTTTTTAATGCAAGGTACAGGGAAATTCATAATGAGTAATCGAACAGATATTGCTGCATCATTTCCTCAAAAAGCTTAAATGTAGCCCTGTCTCTTAGAAGTCTTTAAAAGATGCCTGTTAAAATCTCCTCAGAATAACATATAGATTTGTCACTTTTTTAATTTTATTTTTTATTGAAGTATAGTTGATTTACAATGTTTCAGGTGTACAGCAAAGTGATTCAGTTATGCATATATATACATATATATATTCTTTATCAGATTCTTTTCTATTAAAGGTTATTACAAGATATTGAATATAGTGCCCTGTGCTGTGCAGTAGGTCCTTGTTGTTTACCTACTTTATATATAGTAGTGTGTATCTGTTAATCCCAAATTCCAAATTTATCCCTCCAATCTGTCCCTTTTGATTTGCACATTTTTCTATGCATTTGTGCATTAATCTCATCAGAGAAGCCTATCTAAATTTCTTGACTTCATAAAGGTATTTCTTTGCCTTGTACATTGCTGTACTAAAATAAGGCAGGGATTTTAAAGAAAATAAAGACTTTTATAGTTCCTGACTGTGATATTATGTATTTGCTTAATAGGTCATTATTTTTACATATTTTATCAATATATATTTTTAGAATATTTTGCATTGTCTTTTGTACAAGTACATCATTTATAGTAAACTAAATATTATATTTTGGGCTAGGAATAAAACCTGATATTATTCCTTAAAGAAATTAAGTTCAATACACATAATTATAACTTACAGCACCTTCCTCAGGAATCTAAGATGTTAAAAGTACAAGGACTATTTGTAGATGACCAATTTTGCACAGAAAATGGGGGCAACTGAGGATAACACAGAATCAATTGGACAAATAGTGCAGTACAAGAACCTGTGTTATAGAAAAAGTACAGTTTTCTAATAGTTAAATTTGTTAGATACTGGAATGGGTGATAAAGGAGGGGTGTAGAATCCCTTTCAATGGACTTAAAAAAATCCTCACATATCTGGGATGGTATAGTGGTCTTGCTAAAGCTAAAGGCAGTTTATAGCCAGTGATTTTTACAATTTATGTAAGAAGCAGTTGGATGCATCATATAACAAGATGGTATACAATCACAGCACTGTGCCTTAAATGTACTTGTCCAAAGGACAGACATATTATATTGGAAAAAATCCAGGATTTGGAATTAGGATACCTTACTTTGAGTCCAGGTTCTGCCTTTTTCTTGCTATGTGATTTTGGACAAGTTATTTAATGTCTCCAAATCTCAGTTTCCTCAGTTATAAAATGGGAATGGTATTAATAATTATGCCTACTTAAGCTGACAGTTGTGAGGCAAAGGATATGAAAAAAGTACATGAAAGTACTCTGTAAACTATAAAATGGTATACTCTTTTTTATGATGGAATATGTTTGAAAAAGTCTGGAATTGGGAACTGCTTCAAGAAAATAATCTCTTATAATGTAGTGATGCATCTATACTTAAAGTATTCCACTTGTCAAAATAAGGTTCAAATATGAACAGTTTTTTTCCCACTGTGGATATATTTCAAACTAGGTTAAGACTCTATAAGTCTCTGATACTAGTGTTTGAATTTCTTAACACCAAAATAACAGTTCTTATTACTTATAACTGCTGTAAGTTAAAAGTCTGTTCAGAAACTCTGACAGCTGAAGGATGGTAGGTAAAAATACAGTCCATTGTTCAATAAAGAGTCAGCAGGAGGTGGTAAAGAAGTTGCTTGTGTTATAACTTTATTCGGCTGGGTAAGAATACTTTCTTTTGTGACTGGATTTGGGACTGTTTTGTCTTCCTTAGTCTTAGTAACAATGCCTTATTCAAAAGGACTCCAGGTAGAAAATCTAACTAGGTAGACATTTAGAAAGGCCGTTTCCCATCTCTACTCCCCACCTCAATGCGTTTCCAGGCCCTTATTCAGCTGCATTCATCCCAGGTATAATTTGTGATAACACAAGTTCCTACTCAAAATTTCTGTCAGCTACTGCATTATCAGAACCAGCTGGTTTTAACAACATAAACAAATGTTGGAGACACAGTAGTAAGCACAGCATCACATGGTGTCATGGAGAATAAGTGGCAATAGGGATACATGGCATGAAAACTTAGCTTTTAGTTCTTCACAGGAAATCTCAATACAACTCAATAATCTTGTGGGAGAAAGGTGGAGGGCAAAGTTCTGCTTCCTTATTTTTCCTTTGAGGACTATCTTTTAGAAAAGTATACTACACGGATGTGTATTCTTGCCTCCGAATACTACCTTATTGTTTTGCATACTTAGACCATTCTAAAGGGGGAATGGGAATGAGATTTAAGAGAATTTATCCAATGTGCATGAATTAGGGTAGAGAAAGGTGAGCTATTACCCACTGATTGGATCAATGCAAGTGAAGCACCACAAGTGACAACTGGCAGAATTGTTTACAAACATGCACAGCACTGTTTATTATGTTTCCTGATTTATGAGATTTGTTATAAATTATAGTATCACAAAGCTGGTAAGGAATCTTCCAAGCTGTTATCTAATCCCACCTAATACACCTATATTTGCTAAACAAATCTGGTCATACTTGCCCTTCTCCATCCAAAGGGCACTTAGGACGTTGACATGCTTATATAATCTTTCTGTACACTATTTTCTCACTACACTATGCTCGTTGTGTTATAGTCTTTATTGATGCTTGGTCTGCTGACTGGAGAAAAGACTTCCTTCTGACCCTACTTACCTCGGTTGTCATCCTCATTGTCTTCCCAGGGCTCTTCATTTGCTAGCAATGGGTTCTGTGACTCATTCATAGACCTCATAGGGAAGGAGTGTCCATCACCAGGGCTGGTGGGGAAATGAAGGCAGTGAGATCTTGCAGCTAACACTGACTTTTTATGAAGGTAATAACCCTATCAGAAATAGGAGGGGGTTCTTAGAAAGATTAAACCCATTTAACTTACTGGATAAAGCCATGTTGGAATAGGCTCTTACAATAGCACCATTTAGTTGCTCTAGTGATCTCAATTTCTATATCTTGTTTGTCTGCATCAGTGTTGACTATTTCTGTTTGTAAGCAACTCTTTAACTTGCTTCTTACAATGATGAGTATGGAAAAATGTACACAAGGCAAGCTTTATATGTATCATTTAATGATGATTCAAATTTACATCCCATTATTTTATTGCTTTGGTTCTAAATTTTCAAGAAAATTTGGAAGATTCAGAATCATCTAATTCAGTGGAGATAAATTACTGTGAATTGGTGATAGATAATAATAATGTCTGAATATGCTGTTATTTGGCTTATATGGCAGAAAGGTTATTAGGAGCTGGGGAAAGATACAGAGTAAGGCATCTCTAAGAGTGCAGATTCTGGGAGCAAGTATGTGCATGTGGGATCCACTTTGTAGATATCTATAGGATATAGATATCCTAAGGCATAGGATATATAACTAGGGCCATCTCCTTGGTTAACCTGTGGCCACTAGCAGATGAGATGCTTTGGAGGGAACTGAGATGGCCCTTGCTAGAGTGGATTACAGTTTGAACATTTGACTATTTATCTGAATGCATTCCATATTTATATTTGACTGACTTTGGGATTATTCATTTGATATTACCTATGCCTTTTCTCCTGTTCATGAATGTGGTTAATTGGAAGTTGACAGATTTTACTGATAATTCTCTACAGAGGATGTAACTATACTGATTATAAGTGAATGGGCTTTGAATTTTTCTTTTGTTCTTTATTCTAGAGAAGACTCATTTGGGACCTCCCTTTGGCATACAGATTGTATGTGTTTGTGTATATATGTGTGTGAGTGGGGTGTAAATAATTACTGGTAACATTTATTAATCAACATTACCCATTGACACAGTTTTGTCTTGTGATTTATAGCCAGGACAGTAGGATATCCCACAGCTCTTAAATAAGTGAGACTGTAAAACACTAACTGGTACAGAGGAACTATCAGGGTAATATGTGATGAGGATAAAATTTTCCTTAATTACTACCCTGCTCCAACAAAATTTCCTCAAATAAGTGAACACTTGGATATATCCCTATCTGAGGAATGGATCTAAAGGGGACTGTAAGAAGGGTATAAATAAGCTCTCCCCTAGAGCTAGTTTAGCTGATGGTAGTTGAATCAGATTCATGAAGTCACTCATAGCACACAAGCTTATCTCTCCTTCATTGCTTTCCCTTCATTTCTGTTGCAGTTCTAAAACTTACCTGCAGTCTTGAAATCAATGTTTGTTCTTGCTTAAATTAAAAAAAAACTTTTTTCTTCATAAAAGTATTATAAGCATTTACCCCCAAAATATGAAATATGGAGACAAGGAAAATAATTTCTAAGACTACTGCCTATACCACTTACAGCATTTTGGGGATATATTTCCCCTCTGTTGTTTTTCTTATGTATATATTTGTATATATTAAAAAAACATAAGAATCTCCCTGTCCATTGTCTCAGTAATTCCATTTCTGAGAATTAACCTAAAGATAGAGAGAAACTAGGCACAGAAATTTTCATCATGGCATTATTTCCAGCCAATAATTAGGAAACAATCTAAACATCTGACAATATGGGAATATATATTTAATTTAATTATACATATATTTAATTTAATTATATATTTATTTTAATTATATATATTTAATTTAATATATATAATTATATTAATATAATTTAATATATATATAATTTCCCCACTAGATGGAATAAGATGTAGTCAAAAGTAATGGCTATAAAGACTATGTCACAGTTTGTCGACTCTCACCACTTCTATTCAACATAGTCTTGGAAGTCCTAGCCACAGCAACCAGGCAAGAAAAAGAAATAAAAGGGATCCAAATTGGGAAAGAAGAGGTAAAACTGTCACTATATGCAGATGACATGATACTATATATAGAAAATTCTAAAAGTCCCACACAGAATCTACTATAGCTAATAAAAGAATTCAGCAGGTTAGCAGGAGGTTAGCAGGATACAAGATTAATGTAAAAGATCAGTTGCATTTCTTTACACTAATGATGAATCAACAGGAAAAGAAAGTAAAGAAACAATGCCTTTTAAAATTGCACCCAAAGTAAAATACCTAGAAATAAATATGACCAAGAAGGTGAAAGACTTAAAACATGGAGAACTACAAAACACTGATTAAGGAAATTAAAGAAGGCCTAAAGAAATGGAAAGATATTCCATGCTGTTGCATTGGAAGAATCAATGTTGTTAAAATGGCCATAATGCTGAAGGCAACCTACAGATTTAATGCAATCCCTATCAAATCACCCAGGACATATTTCACAGAACTAGAACACATCATATTAAAATTTATATGGAATCACAAAAGACCCAGAATTGCCAAAGCATTACTGAAGAAAAATAATGAAACTGGAGGAATAACCCTCCCAGACTTCAGGCAATACTACAGAGCTACAGTAATCAAAACAACATAGTATTGATACAGAAACAGACATATGGATCAATGGAACTGAATAGAGAGCTCAGAAATGAACACACAAACTTTTGGTTCATTAATCTTTGACAAAGGAGACAAGAATATACAATGGAATAAAGACAGTCTCTTCAGCAAATGGTGCTGGGAAACTGGACAGCTGCATGCAAATCAATGAAGTTAGAATACTCCCTCACACCATACACACAAAAAAAACTCTAAATGGCTTAAAGACTTAAACATAAGACAAGATGCAATAAATCTCCTAGAAGAAAACATAGGCAAAACATTATCTCACATACAACTCAGCAGTGTTCTCCTAGCAATAGAAATACAAGCAAAAATAAACAAATGGGACCTAATTAAACTTACAAGCTTTTGCACAGTAAACAAAAGTAAAACAAAAAGACAACCTATGGAATGGGAGAAAATATTTGCAAAAATGAGACTGGCAAGGGCTTGATTTCCAGAATACATAAACAGCTCATATGACTTAATATGAAAAAAACAAACAACCCAATCTAAAAATGGGCAGAAGATCTAAACAAGCTATTCTCCAATGAAGACATATGAACGGCCAATAGACACATGAAAAAATGCTCAATATTGCTAATTATCAGAGAAATGAAAATAAAAATTACAGTGAGGTATCTCCTCACACCAGTCAGAATGGCCATCATTCAAAAGTCAACAAACGATAAATGCTGGAGACAGTGTGTAGGAAAGGGAACCCTTCTACACTGTTGGTGGGAATGTAGTCTGGTGCAGTCGTTGTGGAAAACAGTATGAAGATTCCTCAAAGGACTAAAAATAGACTTACCATATGATCCAGCAATCCCACTCCTGGGCATATATCCAGAAGGAATCCTACCTCAAAAAGACATCTAAACCCCAATGTTCATAGCAGCACTATTTACAATAGCCAAGACAAGGAAATGGCCTAAATGTCCATCAACAGATGACTGGATAAAGAAGAGGTGGTATATTTATTCAATGGAATACTATTCAGCCATTAAAAACAACAACATAATGCCATTTGCAGCAATATGGATGTCCCTGGAGAATGTCATTCTAAGTGAAGTAAGCCAGAAGGAGAAAGAAAAATACCATATGATATCACTCATATGTGGAATCTAAAAAAAAAAAAGACAAATGAACTTATATATAAAATAGAAACAGACTCAGAGACAAAGAAAACAAACTTATGGTTACCGGGGGGAAGGGGGTGAGAAGGGATAAATTGGGAATTATAGAATCGCAGATACTGACAGGTATATATAGAATAGATAAACAAGTTTATACTGTATAGCAGATGGAACTATGTTTGATATTTTGTAGTAGCCCACTGTAAAAATAATATGGAAATGAAAATATGTATGTTTTTGTATGACTGAGGCAATGTGCTCTACACCAGAAATTGAAACAACATTGTAAACTGACTATACTTTAATAAAAAAATAAAGACTATGTCACATTAAGGGGAAATACTTACTATATTTTAAATGAAAAATGTAGAATTCAAAATAGTATGTACACTGTGATTAAAAATATTTACTAATATACATAGAAGAAAAACAACAGAGTTGTTTACTAAATTCATTTATAAAAGACAGGTATGAGCTTACACTTCCACAAACAAAGCATGATAATACCTATTTTATGGTGCCCTCACCTCCTGACTCATCTTTACTAACCTAGAAATGAAAAACTCCGATGAAAAGTATTACATCGGACTGATATCTGCTGCATAATACAGTCGAAACTGAATTTGCTACTTCAAGGCATGGTCCAGCATCAACTTATTTCAGTGGTAATAATTACCTACCTGGACCCAATAGGTATTAACCAGAACTTCTTTTTATCTCCAAACACCTGCTGGATATTTTTGATGAAGCCAAGGTTGAACCCATTTTTCTCTGGGCCACTTGTAAACACAGGAGTACAGAAGGCCTCTAGGGCATGGTAAGGGAGTTGAAGAAAAGAGAAAGAGAACAATGATCAGGACCATTATTATTTTACTATTCTTCATGAATATGACTTGGTTCTATGATATCTTTTTGCTGTGGTAGCATAGGCCCCCCCATTCTTAGTTATTCCTAAATTACTTAGTAAACAACCAGTTTAATCACTTTAATACAAAGTAAATTTGTTATTAAATACAAAGAATTGGTACTGTCCTTTTTTTAAAAAAATGGCAGAAGAAACATATAATGGTAGAAATAATTGAGCAGTCATGAGGGTAGAATATATTTTGTACTGCATGAAAGAACAAATACAACAGCACTTTATTTGAATCTAAGTAGCAACAACAGCTAAATGGCCTCTATCTTTAGAACTGGGACCAAAGTAATGACACGTAAAGAGATGGTAATGACATTGTTTTGGTTTTGAAACATTTCATAAATGAAGATGTTCACACTGAAGCCTGCAGTGCAAGAAACTGAGTTTTACTCCAGAAAAAAATGCCAATGGGTGAACTATAATCACCTCAAAGACTACAAGAAATTGGACCATGTTAGTGCACATTATTTTTAGATACATATTTATCCCATTAATCAAACACTTTCACTGTTGAACTCTGGCTGCATCTGGCCATTTCCCATTTGTTCTTTGTTTTCAGACTCGTTATCATGAAGCTTTTAGTACTATTCTACTTCATGGCTGATTTCTAAGCCAAATGTGCTAATCTACCACCCCAGAAACTAATTGCTACATAGATATTTGGTTTAGAAAATAAATACTTTCTTAGCTGTTAGCATTATTAGCTAATGAGTTCCAAAATCATAGTGGCTTTTGCATTAAACTTTCCTCAAATTTATCTTAACTAAATATTCAATATTTGGACACTTTCTCCTCAACCCTCATGCATTGATTCATATGCAATGTAAATATTTGTTTCACCATAAAAAATGTTGCACTGGAATGCATTAGAAATATAGTTCTCCAAATAACAGCCCAGAGTATAGAGTAATGGACAGAGAAAAATTTTAATTTCTCGTGCTCCTTTTCTGGAGACTTACTTATTCAGTGTATTTATCTCATTCCCACAGTCCCTACACAGCTCCTTGATGACTGTAGATATTCAATGACTTATTGGTTTGGATTCTTTCTCAGGACTCGGTTTTTGGATGTGCTCAATAAATAATATTCTTCTATCTTTATTGACCTTCACCTCCTCCTTCTGATGTCCCCTTCTGTACTGATTCTTCCTTGTACTTCCTTATGTGAACACCTTGCAGTGATTTTTAAGCTGTAAATCTGAGGAACTATTACCCAGAATGAACTATCAAAAAACATGGTCATTTTTAGTTTTGTGTGAGACTCCAATCACTAGTGCTCCCTGTAGTCTATAAGCGTCATTCACTATGGCTTTCCCATTTGGTAGAATGTGTTTACATTTGTCTCCTTTTGGAGGCAAAGAGATGTCACTACAGCTATAATGCTTTGTTGGAAGTTCTTCTCTTCCTTGGGAGCAATCCAAAGGTCACAGGGATATATATTCATATGTTTTTTTTCTAGTCCTAATATTCAGTCTTACCTAAGGTGGTTTTATTTCTGCTGACAAGCCAACAATGGTAACCAAAGAGAATCACAAGGCTGACAAAAAACATGCAGGCCACAAAGAGGAGGAAAAGGACATGGAACTTAGAGCGAACACTGGGTAATTCCCCCTAGAAAAGAAATAATAAACAAACAGAAACAAAGGATTAAAGTTGTGAGGTTTGGCTAAGTATTCTATATAGGTTAGTACTTTTTTCACATGTACAGAATGTCTAGCTGTAATTAAAACAATAGATTTTGTAAAAGTTTTACAAAACAGTTCTTTCTGTGGATGACCATACCTCACTATGGATATGCTTTCAACCTACACAGCCTAAAATGGATCTTTGCTTAAGTGCAGTTCAGTGTAAAATAGAGTATATAATGTACCAGTTAGAAAAAGGTAATGTGAAAAGGATATACTCAGCCCATAATTGGTATGCAACCTCTTACAGCTTTCATCCATTTAGTTTGTAAACTATGAGTCATTGACTAGAGGTCATCTTGAGGTGATACGGTTCATCCTCTTGTCCCAAGGTGGGTTACTCTGGAATACTTTACATGTCATGTTCCACTGGATGTTAGTCTGTTGAAAATGTCCCAGTGATATTTGTAGGAAAGTTAAATAACATAGGTAGGATTTTTAAATGTTCTATCTTTAAGTCATGACCTGATTTTAAAACTACTGCAAATTTTGTGTGGCTGTTTTTTTATAGTTGAAGTAGAACGTGCTGATGTATTACATCCTGTGAAACAGCCGTTTAGACAGTAAAATCAAGCAAGATTTGATAGGCAATTGTAAAATTAGGTAGCTAAAGATTTTTTTATAGTTAGCTGGGACATATTATTTTCCATATGGCAACAGGTTTTTTTTTACATTTAGCCCTAGGCCAGAATGAATTTTCTAAAATTCTATAGCATGCACGGTACGTAACATTTTGTCTTTTGAAGAGAACTTTAGAAAACATTTTCAATTTTGGAGTAAGCAGTTGGGAGAATGACTTTTCTTCATTTCTCCATTTGCTGTGCTGATCATTGTTTTAGGGGTGATGAATTACTTTGAAATATTTCCAAATGCTCTCAAGGAATAAAGTTAAAGGTGATTCTTGGTTGAAGTGGACCTTAACACTAGGATCTGGTTCTACCCCAGTTTGGAAGGAGAATGTTAAGGCTTTGAAACACTTGGCAACACTTCAGATAGTACAGACTTTTTTTCCTTCTCTTAGAGGACATTTTTAATTTTCATGTAAGGAAACATTAGGAATCTTCCAGAGTGTATGTATTTGAAGGATGAAGGAAGATAAGTGGACATAAACCACTCGGATACTTTCAGCTGAGGGGTGGTTTGGGTGAAATTTGTCTGGGGGAAGAACACCTCAGGAAATAGCTACCCCAAGGACTTTGACCTTCAGGAACTTTAATGTGAAGCTCCCTTTTGAAATGATCCCTTCACAAAATCTTGGCCTAAGCACCAAAACTAAATTTGATTGGTTTTTGTTCACTTTGTTTTGAATTTATAGGAAAGATTTTGTAATGGTTTTTGCCTGGCTTGGTATTTACTTTCATAATTTCTACTTTTTTAGTATGTTTGTAAAAAGCTTTTAAAGCTCACATTTATTTCACTTCCTATATTTCATGTTTAAATAGACAATAGGAAATGGCTGGGCAGGAGGGTCTGATATAAGGTAAGTTCACACACTGAGTAGCTGAGTTAAAAGCATTTTCCTCCCCCAATTACTCTTACAGAACTCTCTTCTATCTGCCAAAGCATATCTACTGTGTTGTTCCTTGATGAATCCATAATATTTAACTTTTTTTGTTAGAAGATTGTGATGGTCGTATGTTCAAAATTACCTTCTCAGGAAATAACCAGACTAAATTACTCAAAGCAATAACCACCAGAAACAGTTTAGGGGAATATTGATAGACTAATACTACCATCTTAGTTCTAAAATAATTCATAGCCTCTCTGAGGAGATTCATGGCCCAGTGTGGGAGGTGTATATTACTACTTTTTTGTAAGGCAAATATCAATTTCTTATCTAAGTAGCTACTCTTTAATATTGAGAGGAGAACCATGATTTGATAGTCTTCTGAATTCTTTATTCCAAAGGAGCTGGAGTTTCTTTATAGTAGGACTGTAATGGGCAGTAGGATATGGTGCAGTGTTTAAGATTACCGGGCTTAGGGTCAGAAAAGTTAAAATACTCACTATGAAACTTACAAGCTGGGTGATCCTGAGCAAATCACTTAACTATTATGAGCCTCAGTTTTATCATCTTTAAATGAGACTAATAATTCCTGCTTTTACCTAGTTTACAAGATTGTGGTGAGGATGAGATAATAGATATGAAAGTGCTTTGAAAATAGTAAAGTATCATACAAATGGAGGTTGCTATTCTTAGGAGTATGGCTAGTCTCCTTGACACATGGCTTTTAAAATATATGTCAGTGTTTACTTTTCATTTTAAGGGGAGACTCAATTTAAACTGAGAAGACCATCTTTAAACCACACCAAAGTGCTCTCAGCTCAAGAGACTTCAAAGAAGCATTTCTCTGAACTGTCAAAGCCCTTTTCATTATAAGGGCAAACCAAGACAGGTTTCCTCTCTTCTCGTCTGTTAAGCATGAGCTAGTCTATGGTGGAGAAAATAATGAAGGAATAGGAAATGGGCAAGGCTATGTTCACTCCTGATATTGCTTGTGGATATTGGCATATTTCTGGTGATTAATTCATATCTAGATATCTTTCAAGAATGAAAGAAGCATTCAGCACCTGGCTGGCATTGTGTTACTTGATTATTGGCTGACTAGGAGGCCCAAAGGCAAAGTGTGTGAAATACAACATTGTTTATTCTGTTATGACAGTAAAGAGTAGTTCTTAAAGAGTAGCCTACTGTGTTAAGGACCAAGTAATGTCTGTAGTGAAGGTGAAGGCTGACACTTTCCATGCTGAGTTGGATGCAGTAGATATTCTTTAAGTTCAAGGTGGTAGCTCAGTGTGTGAATTAAATGCCAAACAGGTCATGGAAACCTGAGCAATAGATAAGAGATCCTGTGATGTGGAAAGGGGCCAATAGACTCCAAGATGATGAAGCATTTTATATTTGGGGAAAATTTATGAGAAAATTTATTTCTGCTTGTATTTTTGTATTGCTGAGATGAAGATTTTGATATCCATTATATAATTCCTGATTCTTAAAGTCATTAAATATCTGAATTGATTAAGCAAGTTGAAGGGAGAGTGGAAAGCCCATATCACTAAAATTTTCTACACTATATTTTTACACTAGTAGGAATCAAATTACTGATTAATAATTTAAATATTCTCAGCTATTCATGTTCTTAATGCCTTGCCTTTCTCTTTTTTTTTCTCCATTTGTTATAATCTATATTCTAGTCACAGGATTTACGTACTTTACCTCTCCACCTGAGGTGAGATATTGCTGTTACATAGGCTCTTGTGCAATTCCTAAAGTAATAACTAGTAACTCTGCTCACATGTTTTTTGCTATTCGGGGACAGTTTGGACAACCTTCATCATCATGGCTCATCATGGAAGGTTATGATGTCTTTCTTAGTAACTGTAGTGTAGTTGTGGGGAAGATGTCTTCTGGAGTCCATTGGCATGAAATTAAAAAAAAAATCACTCTACTGCCACCAGACCCTGTACACATATGTAAACTGAAAATCTGCCTTCAATTCTTTTGGAAATAAATAGATATAACTGATACCTTCGAGTATAAGAAAAGTGAAAACAGGGTTTTTTTAAGATTTCATTATAATTATTGGACTCACATTTTGAAAGGTAAAGTACTTTTAACATCTGTTTCATTTGATCTTGGCAATGAGCCTGTGAAGCAGATGGCAGAACCAGTATTAGAACACAGTTCTCCTAATTCCCAATCCAGGGTTTGTCATACAAAGTTCAAAGAAGACTCACTATCTTCATTTTGGTCTTTTGTGTCAATGAATGAGTGAATGAGTCAATGAATCTTTCTGTCCAGTAGGAATTTTGCAGCTCTCCTTTGAACAGGGAATTAGAAAGTATTTTCTAACAATGAGGAAGTATTTTGTTAGCCATTTTTCTTAAGAAACTAGGGATTTAGAATTAGTTGCAACATTTTCAAACCTATAATTGGTAAGAGGTAGATTTTAAAAACTTGACTAGATAAATACAGTAAAGAATCAGTAAGAGTCAAGAGATTAGGTTCCTGATGGCCCAACAAGATATTTATGTGTGATAGAAAATTATTTAACTGGAATCTAAATAATGGATTCCTAAATCTCCAAATATTTAACATGGGAAACTTATTTTTGTGCCTTCCATTCTGATTATTTCAGTATTAGCTACTTCAAAATGTGAAAAAAGATAATGTGAACAATATCACAGATTGGAGTAGGAGTGTATTTGTTCTGAGTGGGGAATCCTTCAGGATTGTTTAACTTACTCTCCAGTATTTGATGAAATAGCTGAAGACTGTTGTAGCAATATACAGGCAGTAGAGAACAGAATAAGCTAAGAACTGAAGGAAGAATTTGTAGTTGGAAAATCCAATGCAGTTATTAACCCTAAAAGAAAGAATATAAAAACTAATTTAAAATCAGGATCCATTAGAACACACTGATACACAATGACATAATGAACTAAACAATGGAAGTATGTTACTGCTGTTGCTTCATTATGTGTTGTGTAGAAACTCAACAGAAATAGAAGTCCCTTAATAGGAACAGACTGGAAAAACAAGTTCATGTCTTACTTGTTTCTCCTTTGATTTACAGACACAGAGACACTTGGCCTACCTAATAGTTCTGAACTGGTTCCTGACACACCAAAGCAACCTGGATCTTGGATGCTGAAAACCTACTACAAACTCAGCAGCTATACTTAGTATAGTGTTGCTCTTTATAGTTAGATGATTTCAGACTGATTCTCTAGAACAGACATACAAAATTTGGAAAACTGCCTAAGCTAATAATCTGGAGTATTTCAAACATCAAGACAGCTAACAACAGAACTGAATTGTATAATGTCAAAGAGGAGAACTTTTGTGCTTTCTTTCATTATTATAGCTAATGGACAAGAGATCATTAGCTCTGAGACACTGGGAATTCACTACCTTACCTTTGGTGGTTATTTATTCTTGCTTTAAAATGTTACCCCTCCCCTGTCACCCACACAAATACAAACTTCAGTAAATGATGGGAGCATAAACAGGCAATTTACAACTATGCTTAGGAAAGTAAGCCTATTGAGCAACTTTGACCCTATTAGAAGAGAGAAACAAATCAAAGGGACATACCAAGGACAATGGTGGTCCATCTTTAATACACACCTACAAAAGGAACAGAATACAGTGTGATAAACTTCAGAATTGAACTCAAGGTATCACCATTATTTTTACATGGTGCCAGTACACTCATTCCCAGATTTCTACTATAGCTACTCTAAAACTATTGTGTTCTGTTGTTCCTAGGATGAACCAATCACACCACTTTTGAGGATAATGCTGGAAGCAAGTTATATGTCTCAAAGTCCAACCTTTAAAAGAAGTTGAGAACTCTAAGATATTGATACACAGAAGAGGTCCAAGATATCTCCCCTCATTTTATTTACTCAGTTTAATAAAAGTAAAGAAGAAAACATGGCTATAGCCTGTAATTGAATCAAGGGTAAGAGAAACATGGATGGAACAAGTACCCAAGAAGAAAGACATGAAGATTATATTTATTAACATAAAAATGGGATTTTACAAAATGACCAATTTGAGTAACAAAATAAAGTAGTATTGTGTTATAACCCTAAAAATAAAGTGTTTATCCCTGTCTACATATTGAGACAAGTAAATGATTAAATAAATAAATCAGGGAGAAGAGACAATCACTCATGTACAGGAATTCCAGATAACTTATATAGATACTTTGCCTTCAAGGAGGGGGAGTATAACTCCTCATTTCTTTTGTGTTGGCTACATATAGAGACTTCTTTCCAAAGATTATAGTATGGAAGTGGGGTGGTGGAGGAAGAGAAACTTTACGGTGGAGAAATCTGACAAACACTATCTCAGCCAGATGGTTAAGATTAACATTGCAGTGATAAGTCATCTTTATGCTATGTACCCTTGATATGATATAATGAGAGTGGCACTTTACTTCTCTGGTCTTCCTCCCCCTAAAAACATTACCCAAGTCTAATCATGAGAAAAATATCAGACAGGTCCCAACTGAGGGATATTCCACAAAATACCCGATCATCAATTCTAAAAACTCTCAAGGTTATCAAAAACAAGTAAAGTCTGAGAAACCGTCACAGCTAAGAGAAGCCTAAAAAGACATGACAAATAAATGTTATGTGGTATCCTCCATGGGATCCTGGAAAAGAAAAAGAAAATTAGAGAAAAACTGAAGAAATCTAAATAGAGTATGCACTTCAGTTAAAAATAAAAAAATCTTGCTTTTATTTCTATTGCTTGAGTAGACTGTTCTAGAACATTTTTGAGATGTATGTCAGATAATGTTTTGCCTATATTTTCTTCAAGGAGGTTTATTGTATCTTATCTTATGTTTAAGTCTTTGATCCATTTTGAGTTGATTTTTGTGTATGGTGTAAGGGAGTGTTCTAGCTTCATTGATTTACATGCTGCTGTCCAGTTTTCCCAACACCATTTGCTGAAGAGACTGTCTCTATTCCATTGTATATTCTTGCCTCCTTTGTCAAAGATGAGTTGACCAAAAGTTTGTGGGTTCATGTCTGGGCTCTCTATTCTGTTCTATTGGTCTATATGTCTGTTTTTATACCAATACCATGCTGTCTTGATGACTGTAGCTCTATAGTATTGTCTGAAGTCTGGGAGAGTTATTCCTCAAGCCTCTTTCTTTTTCTTCAGTAATGCTTTGGCAATTCTATGTCTTTGATGGTTCCATATGAATTTTATTATGATGTGTTCTGGTTCTGTGAAATATGTCCTGGGTAATTTGATGGGGATTGCATTAAATCTGTAGATTGCCTTGGGCAGTGTGATCATTTTAACAATATTGATTCTTCCAATCCAAGGGCATGAGATATCTTTCCATTTTTTAAAGTCTTCTTTAATTTCCTTCATCAATGGTTTATAGTTTTCTGTATATAATTCTTTCACCTCCTTGGTTAGATTTATTCCTAGGTATTTTATTACTTTGGGAGAATGTCATTCTAAGTGAAGTAAGCCAGAAAGAGAAAGAAAAATACCATATGAGATCGCTCATATGTGGAACCTAAAACAAGCAAACAAACAAAGCATAAATACAAAACAAAAACAGACTCATAGACATAGAATACAAACTTGTGGTTGCCAA